TGCCTACACCATGTGAGTTCCTTGTGGACACTGGATATTTTTAAACTTTAAAATTTTGTCCATTTGGTGCTTGGTGAATATCATCTCTTTGTGGTTTTAATTTGCATTTCCCCAATTACCAATGTGATTGGACATATTTTCATATATTTATTGGTCATTTATGTTGCCTCTGTTGTGAAATACCTGTTCAGTTCCCCCTCCCTTTTTATTGTTTTTATTTGTTGTCTATTGATTATATTCTGATACTAATCCTGTGTTAATTATATCTTTTCTCAATTTGCAGATCATTAAAAAAATTTATCTTTATGTACTCTTAATACTGAAGTTCTTAATTTTAATGTAGTTAAAACTATCAATCTTTCCCTTTTTAGCTTGTGTTTTTTAAAAAATATGTTTTATATATATATATATATATATAAGACAAAAGTTACCATTTTAACCACTTTCCGGTGTACAGTTCAGTGGCATTAAGTACATTCACATTGTGTATAGTCATCACCACCATCCATCTCCAGAACTGCTTGTCGCTTTTTGTTAATGTCTTGTTCAAGAAGTTCTTTGCTACATCAAGACCATAATGACTATCTATATATTTGTTCTAAATCTTAAAATTTTGCTTTTCATATGTAAGTTCTCAAATCATCTAGAATTGATGGGAACAAACTTTACCCCCCACATAGATGCCATTTGTTGCAGCACCACTTAGAATTGTCTTTTTTTCATTGGTTTATACCATGGATCTGTCATACACTAGGTTTCTTCAAAGGTGTGGGACCATTTCTAGGTTTTCTGTTCTGTTCCATTGTTTGATTTATTTATTATTGTACCAGTATCACATTGTCTTAAATACTATGGAATTATGATAAGCCTTCCATCTGCCTGAAATGCTATTCTCCTAAAGATACACATGACTAAATCCCTAATTTTCTTCTGTTCTCTGCTTCATGGTCACATTCTTAGTCAGCCTTTCCTGGGCATCCTTTCTAAAATTTCAATGCCTCCTCCAAAAACTTTACATCCTCCTTCTCTAGTTAATTTTTTCTGCTATGTAGTTATTATCTAACACAGTAATGTATGTATTTATCTTGTGTATTGTCTCTCTTTCCCACTAGAATATAAGGTTTATGAGGGCAGGAATTTTTGGCTCTTTTATCATTCTTGTGTCCACAGCATAGAAAACATTGCCTGGCACTTAGTATGTGCTTAATTAATATTTCTGGAACAAGTCAAATAATATTGATATATAGAAGGGTAGCCCTCCATCCCAGCACTAACCTTTAAGAGTATTCTTTCTCTCTAGTTCTCTTCCTCCTTGATGTTAGACTAATAAAAGCAATCTAAAATAAAGGGAGAAAGAGCAAGGTGCTTTCTTTAGGTTTCTTTCCTGGCCAACTCCAATAGGTGGGCAGTGAATTGGGGAGGAGAGGGGGCCAGAGGTTGGCTAACTCAATATTAGCTTTTATGGGTCAGCTATCCTGCTAGAAATACCTCCTGCTCCCTGCTTTTCATGGCAAGCAGACCTGGCAGGACATAGAGTTTACAGCATGCTTACTTGGTAGAGAAGCTTACCACGCCTTTGGTTTTTAGGGTGACACACCCTGAACAGGGAAGGAGTGAACACTCACTTTGATTTACCAAGCTTGGCAACTAAAATCTCAGCTGTAAGTGTGACATAGTACAGGACAGAAGTCCTGGAGCCGTAGAGTCATCTAAGGGTGATTGCCCCATGGGGCAGTATGTTTGGGTCTGGGTAATGGAAGGGCAGGCACTGAATTGTGCAGCGATGATTCATGGAAAGTCTGCCAGAGAAGGTACTCTGTGCTTCATTACAGGCTAAACTGGGGAGCCAAGTCATTCTGGAAGGAATGTGTATGAAGTTTTCAGATGAGGACTTGAAGTTTTATAGGTTGGAGTCACATTTGATTCAAACCATCTGTTCAATGGGAAGCTGAACCCAGCACTTTTTTCATACATCTCTCCCAGTATTCATCAGTTCAGTCCATGGAGTGCCAGGCACTGCGGTTATGATAATGAACGACGCAGTTGGCCATTTTTTAGATGTGTATGGTTCAGTAGAAGTGAAAAGTATGTGTTTATATGTGTTTTCCTCCACTTGATTGTGAGGTCAATGTGTATAACTTATAAAAACTTATAAAAATCTGGGTTACCAGGGCTGAGCATTTTTGTCAATCTATTTTTGCTGATGAAATGAATACATGAAAGAACTCACAGTGCTTTACCCACCATGGCTACTGAAACGTATAACATTATTGTGCATTATTGCTACAGTGATATGCTGATTTGTATTGTAATTGCCTCTAGGTACAAAAAACATCCTTCACAGCGAGGTAGTGACCAAAATTGTGGCATTAGAAAACAATAAAAATGCCGGAATAGCTGACCAACACAGGCTATTTTATTCCCTGAGGCTTAAAATAGGTTTCTAATATGATGAAAAGGCAGCTATTATACGACAAGTTTAGTAAGATGAAGGTAATGTTAAACATGAACATATTTTTCCACTTTTTTCTGAACTAGTCATAAAAATGACATTATTTACTTCATCTTTTAATTTGGAAGATATTGCAGTAGGTACTTTGTGGATCAAAAAGACAAATAAAAGGGCCTGACCAAAAAGAGCTTAAAATCCAGTAGTGCTGGTGTCAACCAGCCTTGCGTGGTGACCATGAACCTCTTGAAATAGTATACAAAATTGGTGTGCAGGTGCATTTTACTGAGGAGAGATTTCATCAAAGTGTCCAATGGTTCATATTCACAAAAGATTAAGAACCTCTGTAGTAGAGGGATAAAACTAGAGAAAATTATACTGTATGGGAGTCATAAAGTGCCTTGGAGATTTAAATGAGGAGCAATACAGGTAGCAACACTGAATATTTTCATTGCGAAATCTTTGCCAGTTTTGCAGGGGAAAATTCTCTGGTGCCAGAGACAAACATTTTGAAAACTTGGCTATTGATAGAATTAAACATAAGTGATAACTTTATCACTAGTTATTTTGTGTACGAGTTATCTGTTCCTTGTATTTTCCTGTGTTTCAGTTTGTCTTGGGATTTTTTTTTCCTAAAGAATTAAGTTCTTTGTATCCTGATGGCATTAATATTTTTTGATGTTATATTTTTGGTAAAACTTTTCCCCACTTTGATGAATGCAAAACAATTTTGTGAATTTTTTAGATGCACAGTTTAATCTTTCTATATTAAGTTTTTTTGATGTACTTATTTTTTTAAGAGACAGAGTCTCTTTCTGCTACCCAGGCTGGAGTGGAGTGGCATGATCATAGTTCACTGTAAACTGGAACCCCTGGGCTCAAGTGATCCTCCTGCCTCAGTCTCCTGAGTAACTAGGACTACAGATGCACACCATCATGCTGGCTAATTTTTTATATTTTTTATGGAGATGGGGTCTTGCTTTGTTTTCCAGGCTAGTCTTAAACTCCAGGCCTCAAGCGATCCTCCTGCCTTGACCTCCCAAAGTGCTGAAATTATAGGCAGAAGCCACCACACCCAGCCATATAGTCAAATATTTAGGTTTTTTCTTTTTAATTTATTATATTTAAATTCCTCTGCTATCCAGAGATCAGATATTCATAGCAATGTTCCTATGGTCTGCACTTCAGGTTTTTTCTGGCAGTTAACATGCTTTCAGGTGTCTTCTTTGGACCAAGTGATGTTAAATTACGTGTATGATACAAAGAGCAAGGAAATGTGGGAAAGCTCTGCTGTCACATTAGCGGAATTAGTAGTGAGATGGTAGCACTGGGGTGACAAATGTAGAGACATTTTCCGTGGGTTTGAACCTGGCTCTGACACTATGCGACCTTTTGAAGTCACTTCTCTGTTCTTCAGTTTCCTTATCTGTAAAATAGGGTTAATAATAGAATCTACCCCATGATTATGAGCATAAAATTAATTGGTATGTAAACTGCTTAAAACGGGCCCTGGTACAAAGTCAGTGCCAGCCACAGTAAAGTCCTTGCTGGGTAGGACTCTTCATTTCCAATGACTACCTTTACCAGAGCCTCCCTCCGTAACTTTTGTAAGTGAGACGCGCCTCCTGGAGGCCACAAGCGAAGTTTATTTCCAGTTCTTGAAAACCCTGTAGACAACACTAGGAGAGCTGGTCTGGCTGTCACGTGCCTCTCCTGAAAGTCTGCAGTCTGACATCTGGAAAGGACAACATCATTCTCCCCAGCGCTTCCACTTCTTCGACCCTACCTTCTCTCTGAGCCTGATCTTTTTTAATTCCTGCAGGCCTGGAGCGATTTCTGCGAGTATGCATTCATTCACTCATTCCAGTTCACGCTACAGATATTTTGCTAAACACTTACTATGTGCGAGGCATTGCGGGCGGGGGGCGGGGGAGGGGTAGTGAACTGAACTCGGAACCTGCCCATCTAGGGCTAGCTGTCCAATAGGAAAATCAAAATGTGTATTGTACGTAGATGGGCAAAATAACAATTATCTTGTAGCTCCTGTATTCTCATCTGCAAAATGGGGGTAATATGACCCTACCTTATAGGGTCGCTGAAACATTAAACGAGGAAAAAAAGAGCCCCTAATAGTGAACCAGGTGCAAAAAGCATTTTAGTGCCCATTCTGTCTCCATTCCTTCCCCAGACGAAACTGATGAGTGCCCGCCTTGCGGCTTAAAGCGCCACGTTATCTTCAGTTTGTGGAATCTTTATTAGCGTCCCAAACGAAGTTATATAGGTTCAGTTTTTGGTGTGTAGTAGTTTCCGCTGCTAGCATTCCTGCATTCTGGTTTCAACCGTCAAAAGCTACGACTTCACATACAGGACGTGCCGCTTAAAATTGGGGGGGAAAAAAAACCAAACCCGAAAACACTCATACTCAAATTTATTTCAGCTGGCAAAATGAGTGAAATGCCGAGGCCCCAAACAACGCCCAGTGAGCGATCGCAGGGCTCGTGAAGGGTGGGCGGGACGCTGGGGGGCGGGCCTTCTGCATCGCTCACTTCCGCTTCCGGTTCCATACAAACTCTCCCGCCACCCGGGAAAAGCGGTTTCCAGCGTTTGTGTTTTCCCGCGTTTGGGTGCTTGTAAGTAAGAGAAACTCCTGCGAATTTAGGGTGGAGAGCAATCCTGGTGTTGAGGCTTGGAAGTCGAGAGGAAAGGGAGATCCTTTTGTGGGCGGTGGGAGCAGAAGGATTGCCTTAGCAGGATGGGGGTTTTGGGAACTGGTTGGTTGTTTGGGGCAGAAACCCAGGTGCCAGGGAGGAGTTGGGGGCAGATAGCTTTGCCGGAGGACTGGGTTAGGGGCGGGGATCAGGAGTGGAACATTTATAAGGCATTTGTAGTGCGCCCTAAATGGAGTTCCAGGGACTGGATCCGAAAGATAGTTGTTCTGTTTCCCAGGGTCATAAGACAGGAAGTGAATAACTGGACCCAGTCCATTAAGTTTCTCATCTAGCCAGAATCTAGTGCGCTTTCCACTTAGTGCAGGATTGCACCCCATATAAAACCCCATCTTAACTCTTGGGATTGCTGAGATCCAAAGGCCGTGACATACAGGCCTATAGTGAGCAGGCAACATCACCTGACTTTCATGTTGCTCAACGTTAGGACCACCAGCTGCAGCTATTCTAGCACCTCCTGCCATCACAAAATGATTACAGGTGTGTTGTAGAAAATCTGGAAAATACGGAAGGAAATCACCCAGGGGTAATCATTGTTAACATTTTGTTAACTTCAATGTTATTTTCTATGTATGTGGAATTATATTTTTGTTTTTTATTTGTTTTCTTTTCAACTTCATTTTTCATCATTTTAACCTTTTTATATGCTTCCCACCAAGGTGACCAAGATGCAGTTTTCTGGAGGAAAGAGGAGGAAGCTGAGATTGGCAGGTGATCAGAGAAATGCTTCCTACCCTCATTGCCTTCAGTTTTACTTGGAACCACCTTCTGAAAACATATCTTTGACTGAGTTTGAAAACTTGGCTATTGATAGAGTTAAATGTAAGTGATATTTAAATTAAAATGTATATATTCTTGAAAAGCTCATTTATCCTTTGTGAGAATGAAGGTAATTTATATCCTTCATTCAGCGATCCAGTCAACATATTTATTGAGGATTTACTGTTGATAATCTGGTATTCATTCATTTATTTATTGTACAACGACTATTTATTGAATGCTGCTATATTTTAAGTGGCAAGGATTTTGAGACGAATAATGTAATTCTTCATTGAAGCTGTATTCTATTACATAGAGACAGACTTCCAAAATAATAGTCATAATTCAGTATTTTAACTGCTTTAGTATTAATAGAAGTAAATATGAGTGCCGTTGAGATGAAGAAGTGGGAGTGACTGACTTAATCTGATTATGTAAGACTTGGAGAAGTTGAAATATGATCCGGACCTTGAAGGATGAGTAGAAAGTTTCCAACAGGGAAGTGAAGGCTTTTTCCAAGCTGAGATGATAGCCTGTGCAAAGTCTTGGAGGCATGAAAGAGAATGTCATGTTTGAGAAAACAGCGACAAGTTCAGGGTGGATGGAGACGTGTGGATAACCAAGGACATTTTGTGCCATGCTAATGGTGTCATAATGGGGTGTAAGAAGGATATGGCCACTGTCCTGGGGGCCTACTTCTCAGAGTGTTGGTGGAAGAAAGGAATGAGCTAGATATGAACTGAAACAGAAATACTTGTATTGTCTTCAGAATTTATGTTCCTTGTGGGAAAATCAGACAAAGAGGTGAAATACTGTTAATCATTCTTAGAGGAGAAGGGTAAGAACTGCTAATACAGAGAGGGGGTACTTAGTACCTGTTTGTCAAATGAAAGAGTGAAGACAAGGGAGAAAATGATTTTAGAAAGCTTAGCAGTGTCACGTTTCATAAAGATTAAGATGATGTTTGAAAAGTATCCTTCGGTTTAGTACTTAAGAGGAGAATTGGTAAGGGCCTGAACTAAGCTAGTGACAATAGCAATGATAGGAAGGGAGAGATTGAAGGGATACTGAAAAGGTGTCATTGATAGGATTTGGTGACTGTTTGGGATGGCTGAAGTTCCTACCTTGGATGATCTGGTGGATAGAAACTCTGCTGATGGAGATGGGGGTGTCAGGAAGAGGAGTAGGAATGAGGGGAAGATAATTAGTTTGGTTTGGATACCATAATAAGGAAGTACTTGTAGGATACTGGTTTATGTTCAGGAGGGAATTTAGAAGTTTTTCATTCTTGAATTCAGAAATGGCTTGAGAGAAGAATTCGTCTGAGGAAAGATTAATAACCTTTGAACAATATGTAACAGCTGTTCAGGGTAGTTCATTTAGCTGATTGGATGGCACTGTTTCTTCACTGCTGCGTCCTCTCCTTTTCAAGAAAGGAAGGGTGTTTTTTTTTTTTTCCCCCCCCTAATGAGTCTTTGCTGAGTAAATGAAGCAGACTGCCTAACAGGCAGCTCCACATGAAGGATGCAAACGAGGCATGCTTGGTTGTTTTTTCCATATTGACATGCTTTTCCATTCCTCAGCGGTAGTGGCTCAGTATAGCAATGATTATCCATCACCTGTCTCTCTTCCCTGATTGAGAATCCCAGGTATTAGATTATGCTGTGGGACATGGATATTTTCTGCACATAGATGGACATTATCCTCTTACAAACATATGTAGTTTCTACAGTATACTTGCAGACAATAAAATGGTTATAACTTGTCATGTTCTGTAAATACATAGTTATAGAATTACTATAATTCTATAATTATAGCAAATTATAATTTTGTCTCAGATTTTGCTTTTTCAAATTATCTTGAATTTATACCTTTTTTCTTTTTTTTAGTGCTAAAATCAGTTGAAAATCTTGGTGTGAGCTATCTGAAAGGAACTGAGGAATACCAGAGTAAGTTGGAAGCTGAGCTTCGAAAGCTTAAGTTTTCCTACAGAGTAAGTAAAAAAGGAAAAAAGAAAAGTTTCTTCAGTTTATGTATATTCATGTACTGAGTATCAGTCAGGGGAAATGTCTTATATTAGGCACAGGGCTTTTATAAAGACCAATATAGACTCTTCCTGAAGGTTCTTACAATCTATTAGGGGTGATTGACATGTAGTCAGATGAATATAATACAGCAGGGTTTCTCAACCTTGAGACTATCATCATTTTGGGTCTAATAATTCCTGTTGCTAGAACTGTCTTGTGCATTGTAGGATGCTCAGTAGCATCTGTGACTTCTCCCCACTAGATATCTCTAAACACTGCCAGATATATCCGGCGAAATACGTGATGATGAATACTGTTATTAGATGTGTGCTCTGGGAACAACAAGAGCACATGAAATTACCCAGCTCAAACTGGGGAGATTTGGGAAGGCTTTCTAGAGGAGCTAGTGCTGGACGTGCATCTTGACAGATGTGATCAGATTTTTATTTTAGGAAGATGACTGCCAGCAGCACATTGAGAGGGTCATGTCTGACAGGAGGGAAAGTAGTTAGGAGCCTGGAAATGATGAGAGTCTGAATTAAATGGAAGGAGGGGACTGACTGAAGAGATTAAAAAGGTAGAATCAAGTTTTAGTGACTGATTGCAGCGGGAGAAAAGAGAGAAGAGTTACATGAATGACACCCAGGTTTCTATTAATAGGGCAGTTGGGTGGATGATGGTAATATTTTGAGATGTGATATACGGGAGGAGAAGCAAGTCTTAGAAGGACGTTGTGGAGTTTAGTTCTTCACATGAATTTGAGATGCCTGTGGAGATGTCTGTGGACATTTGGATATACAGATGTGGACTTAGAAGACATCTGTAGTTGGACTGTAGATTTAGGGCAAAGTTGGAATCATCAGGAGTAGGCGAGAGCACCCTGGGAAGATATTTGAGTGAGAAGAGAAGATGAGGGAGGACAAGATGTAAGGAATACCACTGTTTAAGATGAAGTAGAATTAGAGGAGTCTGGGAAGGAGGTTGAGAAGGAGGTTTCTGAGAAGTAGGAAATGAACCAGGATAGTAGTGCATAGAAGCCAAGGAAGGCTGGGGTTTCAGTAATAATGACCATGATATTAGTGATAATAGGGAATAGCAACAGCAAACATTTATATTATGCCCTATGTACCAGATTTTGTTTGGGCTCAAAGATGGCAAGCGGTGGAGCCAAGATTCTAGTCTGGACATTTTGTTTTGGTGGTGGTGCTCTTAACCACAATAGTTTCAGAAGCTTAAAACAGATCATGTAAGATGAGTTGTATGGTGTCCATTGGATTTAGTGGTGGGATGGGCCATTATAGCTAGAGGCAGAAGCCAGAACAATGACAGTGGTTGGAGGAGGAAGGTGGAGAGGTGGATATGGAATATGTACTCTTTTAAGATGTTTAGCTGAAAAGGCAGAGGAGAAATAGGGCAGAATATAGAGAATGTTTTAGGGAAAAGAGAAGATACACACACACACACACACACACAAATATGTGTCTGTGTATATAAATATATGTACATATATATATGTATATGACAGGAGATAAACATGTTTGTAAGCTGAACAGAAGAACTGGAATAAAAAGAAGAGGGGATCTTGAAGATACTTTGAGAGAGCATTTGATAAATCCAGGTCCTTAAGAGGCAAGAACAAATGGGTTGGAGGATTTTGGTGCAGGGATTAGCTTTATGTATGAGGAAGGAGAGATGCTTTGTCCACAGAGATGGCAGAGAAGACAAAACAACATGTGGATGCAGAAGCTAGGGGTTGAAGGAAGGAGTCTACCTGGTGACCTTTATTTTCTGTAAATGAGATGAAGTCATCTGTTGAGAGAGAAGGGAAAGGTGCTATGGTAGGGGCCTTGGAGCAACTGGTGAGGTCTAAAGATTTTCTAAGAAGTGAGGAAGGGGATGATTATGTGTCAGATCCCAACTCTACTGCTTACTTTGGGCAAGCTTTGTGACTCTGGACAAGTTATATAACCTCTCTGTGCCTCAGTTTCCTCATCTTTAAGGATATGGTAATGCTACCTCAGGGTTTTTAAAAAAGGATTAAATGGGATAATGTTAATGCATTAAAAATGCTTAGAACAGTGCCTGGTACCTAGTAAGTGCTCAAGACACAGTTACTATTTTGGACTTAAATAAATATTCCATGGCATTGGTAAGGGTCCAATTGAGATTATAGGCCATGAATTTTTATATTCAAAATTCCCATAGTTGGTATTTTTTGTCCAGACGTTCTTAGCATTTTGGGAATAGGACTACAGAGTACAGCTGTAGATTAATTTAAAATATAGATTTTGCCACATGGTTCAAATTAGAGAAGCTGAGAGTTGATGTAAGAAGAGTCGAAGTGGTGAGTACCCTGGATCTAGGCTGGATAAGAAAGTAAGTTAAGAAAAAGGGGTTAATAGGAAGAAAACAGTGGGGTTCAAACCCAGGGGGTTTTGTTGAGACCAGTTCACTTCTTAGTCTCACCTGATTGATAGCTTAAGTAAAATGATAATTATCCTGGAAAGCATATTAAGAAATGTGTCTTTGAAACTTTTACTTTACCTTTGGCTTAAGCCGACTCAGTATTTTTTATACCTCTTATCATTCTAATGCATTTATTTATTCATGTGTCTTTGTTTTTAAGGAAAACTTAGCAGATGAATATGAACCGCGAAGAAAAGATCATATTTCTCATTTTATTTTGCGCCTCGCTTATTGCCAGTCGTGAGTACACATTTATATGCTCACAGTCAAATCTGGTGTCTTGGGTTATACGTTAGTACATGGGAATTTGATATGTTGTGCTAAATGTAGAAAGACTCAGAATAACATCAGGAGCCAGTTGGTCATGGAATATGTTGCAGTGAATTGTTTGAAACAAGTTGTTTACTGAAAAAATATTGAAAAAAATTTCTATTGCAAAATTTTGCCCGATGAAATACGTTTTAGCTTTATGGAGAGACTCTTCATTTGGGATTTTAAAATTGGAAAGGATTTTATTAGGATGAAGGACTTTTGATACTTTCCTGAAAAAAGTGGTAATATTTTTAAGAAACAATGAATCAAACCCATACTTGAATTTGATACAGGTTTTTAGAATTTGAGATATATGGGCCTGTTACAGCTATGATATTTTTGTTTGGTCTTTGGGTTCTTCTAAGTCAATAGTGCCACCCAGAGGGAGAAGTTGTGAGTTGCTTTTTTTTTTAAAACCTTGTTTTTTTCCCCCCATATTCATTTTGGCCAAATAATATAGTTATGGCTGTTTCTTTTTATTAATAGGCTTACCACATTGAGAATCTTGAAATATTTACCAAGATTCAAGATAATAGTGGAGAAATTACTCCCCAGCTTTGGTTCTAGAATTTTTCTTTTGTAAAAAAGCATATGTAGTTTATGTAATTTATGAAGTAGATGAATTGCTGGCAAATTGCTGAAAGTCACCACAAAAAATGAAATCACATTTTATGTGCAGTAGGGTAATTATTATGTAACAATAATGCCCATTATGTATCTGCCTTATAAATGAATATATTTTTATGGATTTTAAATATTGTATGTACATATTAAATTTTGTGAAATTATAAACTGTAAAGCTGTAGGCAAAGTTTCCTTTGCAAAGTTCATCTGATCATAATCTATTCAGAGATAAAGTTACCTTTAAAAAATTTGGTGTTTATTTGGCATTGATGAAACCACCTCAGGCCAAAGGAGTGCCCCATTTTCTAATGTAAGTGACTATCGTGCAGTTACATTAAATGCAATGAACTAATTTCTTTTATGTTATTCAGTAGTAATGCAGCTAGGCTTGAAGCATTTTATATTTAATCCTTTTAATTTTATAATACCCCTCTACCTCATACTCAACACATCCCTGGAAGATTGTAGTATGTGCTATTCGTATTCTCCTTATCATAATATAGGACTTGTATGTTTTTAACTACTGTCTACTGGCATCTTGCTTATGTTTGAATATTGTTTTATTAAAACTTCTTGGATTTACTAATCATTGTATTTTTAATTTGTACTCATAATTTCCCTGTCTCCATTTCAGCGAAGATCTCAGACGCTGGTTCATTCAACAAGAAATGGATCTCCTTCGATTTCGATTCAGCATTTTACCCAAGGACAAAATTCAAGATTTCTTAAAAGATAGCCATTTGCAGTTTGAGGCTGTAAGTATATTTTTGTAGTTGTTTTCAATTGTTTTCACGATTCATCCCTCCCTTTTGTCTTAAGTGTTGGTACTAATATGTGGAATTCATTCTCTTTACATTCTCTTCCTAAATTCCTGCCTGATAACGGAAGCTAGCGTACAACAATGAACCTTTCCTCCTCTGTGACCAGAGGAAAAGGGGCTCCTTAGTAACAAAGCCTCACGTTTAGTTGGTCTGTTAAATATGTGATTTATTAAAGTACAAAAAGGTTTAGTTTATAAAAGTTCATCTGTAACTAAAATCTTGTATGTCAAAATTTTAAAGCTAATAATGTATTAAAGAAAACAGACAAGTGATAGTTATTTGCAGGAGTGAAGTTTAGAGAAGGTAATACAATATTTTAAAAGTCAGTTGTCAGTAAGTTGTCTGATTAGTTTTAAAAAATAGTTTTGCAGACAAATCTGAATGATTTACATATTGTAATTATATAAAAAGAAAAAATGTCTGGGACATATTCAGCAGGGATAAGTATTGGGGGTGGAAATAGAATTTATGTCTTTTGGGTAGATCTATGCTTCAGTGAGAAGGTAGAAAGATTCTGTTTTGGTAGATTTAGAGCAGTTGGATGGTAGCAGGACTGGTTGAGACTTTATTTTGGTGTTGGAATAGGTGGCTTGAGGCCAAATAAAAAAGTAGAAGTTGCAGTAGGTGAAAGACATTGTGCTGATAAGTGGAAGATATACTCACTGTAGCAAGGAATACTATGGGTTATGTGAGTTGGCGGAAAGAGACTGCATGAAAGGATGTGAACAAACATTTAGTAGACATTTAGTGTCTAGGTGGGTGTTGTATTGTTGAGTTCTATTTCTCCCTCCACACATACCAGTGTTGGGAAAGATTCCTACATGAGTCTCTTACACTCCTGCACATCTTGCTGGGTAAGTCAAGAATGAATGGTCATGACCACTCTTTATCCAGGCCATTTCTTACAACTGTGTTTTTAGCAAGCAGCTTTGAAGGATGAAGTGATATGTTCCTTAAAGCTGTTGGCTCTCAGTGTTCCCTAGTTGTAGTGTAAACCCACTGCAGACCATTGATCTGGGCTGTATCATGTTGCCCCCATGGGACTGAGCAAGGAGAACATGCTGGTTCTCTTGCTGCTTCCTGTGACATGAGTACTAAAGTTCTTTGTCACTGATGCAGGAGTCTTGTGTCTTCTGCCACTATCTCATAGACAGTAACAGGCTATCTTATTGGCTTAGAGGGAGGCTAAAAATAAATTCCAGACTTGACAATCAGCTGTGTTATTTTGGATAAATTTTCTAATCTGTATTTCAGTTTCCTTATCTTCGAAATGGGGATGATAACGATTCCTACCTCAGATTTGTGAGGTTTAAATGAGATAGTGTGTACAGAGTGCCTGATATGGGCCTGGCGTATATGTTAACTCTTAGTATTATAGAGGGTACAGAAGTAGCAGATGCCTGTATTTTGGAGAAGTTTGGAGTCAATTAGATTGAAATTAAACTATTTTGGGCTTTTTTGTTTTAGGAAATAGAAATTTATGGGAAATGTATGCATAGTTTTAACAAGTGTGTTGGAAGTCAGTATGGTTTTTAAATATTACTCTAGTTGCTTCTAGTCTGTTTGCTCTAAATAATTAATAGCCTGTTTCACTCTGTAGGTCATTTGAGGTTCATTATAATAAACATATACATTAAGATGCAGAAATATGGATAAAGTTGAAAGATTGACTGAAAGGAAAATTAATATCCCTATTTATACATCCCAGGGTGGTCTTACACAGTTTCTAAAGGGAGCAGTAACTTTGGATTCTTCTGTGACTGTTCTGGTTTTTCTAGCTCAATGATTCTCAGTGGGGGGATAGGAAAAGGAGGTAGTCCTCCTAGGGGGGTTATCAGAACGTGGGTGGAGGTGTGTAGGTTGTGGAAAACATCATGCCTTATGTTTTTGAAATATAAACCGGAGAATGTAAAGCTTGATTGTGTTTGTGGCTGGTGGGGATTCATGGGAGATAGAACAAGAAAATATTCAGGGGGCTTGACAGAAAAACCATTCCTGTGATGATAGATTGCACTCACTTTCCTGGCGCAGACCTTTTGCCCTTTTCTTCCGAAACTGGTAATTCCCAGCGCATGGCATCCCATACTGGTAATTAAGGCACTGGAGTTCAGGTGCTCTTGATTAGCTTGCCCCCAGGGCCCTGTAAGCTCTCCCCATTTCGTTTTAGGCTTTCCCAACTTTTACCATTTCATTAACAGGGACGTGTGCAGTTTCTTCACTTTCATTAGAATATTTAGTGTATGTTTGAAAACTATTATACTAAATCAGGTATTGGTGATGCTTTTAGACTCAGGACAAACCAAGGGTTGGGGAAAAGTTATTAGCATTTGTTGCATAAGGTGGTCTCTGATATGTGACCTGCCGTGTAAGACCTGCTGCCTAAGTTGAGGCACAAGGAAAGGGTAGGGAGTGGGAAGCCATGGGGCCAGCTTGGTTTCCTTGTCCCAGAAGCTGAATTGCTGGCACACGTGTCTTAGAGTCTGTCTGGACTCAAAGTGCTTGTGTGATATGTTTGTGTGCAGTTCACTGTCTTTTCCGTTTCCTTAATGCTGCAATGGCTTTTATATTGATCTACTTCTGTAAAATAAATATATTTTTATGTTAGGAGATGCAGTGTTATAACTAAGTTGCATTGTGTTTTCTTTGATGCAGAAATATGTACGGAAAAATGGATCATTAATTCTTAGCGTTCTGTTTCTGACTTGGACAGTATGTTGATACTTTTTTAGTTTATACTTGGGTTTCTAGTGGGTAGTAGATTCTGAATCTTTATGACATAGAAAAAAAAGCCTTAATACAAAGTGTTCAAAAAAGGACAAATGGATATTTTTCATTTTTTGACTTATATGTATATAACTTGGATTTTAAATCTGAAATTTCTAAGCAGGATTAACAATGAATAAATATTGCTGTCCATGGCAACCATTTTGGATCTCTCATTGCTAAGTTGATTGACTTAACCTTGGGTCACATTAAAGGTGAATGTGGATAAGGTTAAACAGATTCTGTTAATGCTTCTTCAGTTGGCCAGTTGGAGAAAGGTCAAGCTTTGGCAGCTGTCAGCGTTATAGATAAAGGGTTTCTGTGCTGTTGCAGTCCAGAGCCTGATAGCAACTTATTATTTATTTGGGTGTCTTTAAAAACCTTCTTAGCACAGTCAAAAAATATTTTTTGTTTGTTTTGAAATACCAGTGGCTCTATGGCACGATGCTTTTCATTAGAATAGTACAGAATGACAGGGACAGTAAAGTTGTGCATCCCTTAAAGATGTGGGGAGTATTCCGTATGTCATAATTGAAAACTCCGCTGCATATTAAGAACTAATGTTGTTCACTTGTCGTTTATGTTCAGGGAAGTGAGGGCTTTTGAGTGAAGGCAGGTGAGGTTGGTAACTTCATTGCCTGGCTCACTGAAATCAAGTACGTGAAAACTTTGAATTGTTTATTTTTGCTTATTTTAAAATAGCTTTTCTTATCCTGAACATGACATTTAAAATTTCTCATCCCTTGTAGTTTAAAACCCTAATTTCTTTTATCTTTGGAAATTATTTCATGTCATTCTTGGCTGGTAACTTCTTTTTAGTGAACATGAATTAAAGTTTAATTTGTCATTTGTTATTGAAAATCTCAGTTATGAATTAATTAGGAACCTTTGGATGCTCTTCTGTTAAAATTGGAACATTGAGTTTACATTGATTAAATAGTTTCACGTGTATAGAATTTAAAAATACTTTAGTATTTTAATTGTCTGGCATTATTTCTCAGATGTTTATAAATTGGCCTTGAGGTAGTCATGGTTTTCTGATCATTTTGGCCCTTATATTGTTTTCATTGTTGATTGGTATACTTTGGGTTGTTGTAGCTCTTTTGGAATGTGCCTTCATCACTGTGGTCTATTCCATTTCTATTACTCTAAATATGAAAATGCCATTCACAAATATATGTTACTCTCTTTATACCTACCCTCTGGGATCTCCAGTTATTATAGGTCTATTAATAAGTTGCCAAGCAATTTTAGTGTGGTGTCTGTAAAATGGAGTGCTATGTGTAACTTTATGTATCTTTTGACACAGAATAAATTTTAGCCAATAAAGTGGTGATACAGAACTGAGACAGGACATGCAGGTGTTTAGAATAGTCTAGAGAACACATGTGTTTGATAAGCTTGGAGGTTTTTTACAGGACTTCTAGTACACCATTGACTATGATGGAAGTGGAAATGGAGCCTGGAAGAGTGAAGTGGGTTGGTAGGACACACACTCTCAACACTCTTGGTGGAAATTCCAGACCTAAAAGGAACTGAAGAGGAAAGGGTTGATAATCAGATGAAGAGTATTGAAGAAAAAAATTATTCATGTTACTTGTCAAAGACAGTAAGGAAGACTTTATTCAAGGGAGGCCACTAATAGGGTTTTGTAGTGGGGAGAGAGATGAGCTCAACTTGAAATATAATAGGAACAAGTGGGGACTTATAGCAGGATTCAGTGGATGGGAAATTACTAAGAGGTAGGGTTAATTCTTTGCCAAACTGACCTAAGGAACTTTGCTGAAGGCAAAACAGAGTGATAAGATATTGAGGATGGTCAGACCAAGGATGGGGGATTTTTCCTAAACTGACTCAGCGGGATTCTTGCAAAAACTGAATTAGCAGACCCTAGTCAAAAAGAGTTTTCAGGAGCCTGACTATTAGGTCAAGGAGAGAGAGTCTTTGTCAAGGGGCTCAAACTTATTTTCTGAATGGGGAAATAAATTGTTTTATGTTCCAAGACTGTGAAGTAGGCAAGATTGCCTGTTCCAAGCAACGTGCTCTCTGCATTGAGTGGATGTTTGAATTAATTTCTAGAGAAAATAGTAGCCGGATTCAAAAGATTTGTCTCTATTCTGTTTCATGAACACTAGACATCTTTGAGTATAGTAACATGGAGTACTTATCTTTTCTCAGGGTTAAATATTAGGCGATAGGTATATGTTGTGTATGAAATCAGCTTTTTCCATTGAACTGGATTTGAGGGATTATGCTGGTTAGCAGACTTCAATTTGTTTCTCTAAATAGGAAATTTCATGATTTAGACCGAGCTCTTTGTGCGTTTCAGTTATAATTGCATACCTTTGATTTCTTTCCAAATGATTTATATGAGGGCATTAACATAGGACTTCCTTTTTATAAGTAAACTCTATAAATATAATACTTTTGTTCTCATAGTGGTTTTTGACATCAAATAATTATGGAAACCAACCTTGTATTGTTTTATGTATA